AATAATAATAATAATAATAATAATAATAATAATAATAATAATAATAATGGATATGAAAAAACATTCTCACACTCTTTTAATCATTGTTAAATTAATGAATCATGATCCTATCTTAAATAAAAAAAGATGAAGACGAGTAAATAATAATTAATTATATATACATACACACAAAACTATTATTATATTCATATTTTTGCTTATTGCATATTTAAGAACCTATTTAAACACGAGGGCTAGCGACTATTTAAATTGTATAAGAGACGAGGAAAGGAAGGAAGGTAGGAATGAGAAAATGAAGGAAAGAAGTACAGAAGAGAAGTTTTGTGGGAGACGCGCGCGAGAGGAGAGTAGTCGACGGAGGAAACAAAAAACGGGACTTTCCTCCAGAACGATACATCATTTTATTTATGTTTTTTTTTCCTCAACTTTTTCGTCTTCACTTTCTTTTTTTTGTTCAAATCTTTTTATCGAAATAATCGTCGTCGAAACAGAATAAAACAAAACATAAAAACTTGTACTCTACTCCCAATTGTACTTGGCAATCAAGTTTCGAATTTTTTCGCCTTGCAATCGATCTTTCGAAGAAATTAGGACGACAAAAATAAAGAAAAAGAATTAGAGAGATCAATTTCGAAGGGTTCAAATTTCTTCGATAGTTCGGAAGTTTCGGCATAATGACTGCGAATGTTAAGGCGGCGTCGAAGGATAGCGTCGTTTTTTTATTGAGAGACGTAAATAAAATAAAATAAAATAAAATAAAATAAAATAAAACAAAATAAAAAATAAAATATAAAATAAAATAAAATAAAAACAAATAAATGAAAGAAAAAAAAGGAAGATAAGAGAAGTACGCGGTATTTTTCAGTCGTAAATAAAAAGTAATAAAAGTAACGAAATTAAGCTAGTCGACGCCACGGACAAAAAAAAATATTTTCAGGAATTTCCCCCTCCCCCGTCCGATTAATTATCTGCTCTCTCGTATATATATATATTGTATTCGAACACATACATACATACGTCAAATATTTGCGATCCGCTATTATACGTACATTGTATACAACAAACAAATGGTTTTCAAATCCGAACGCGCGGTTTTTAAATTCTCGCGACTTGTCGCGTGGGGAGACCGAGGAATAACAAATTTTTAAGAAAGAGAAAGAGAGAGAGTGAGAGTGAGAAAGATAGAAAGAGAGCGCGAAAGAACGAGAGAAAGAGAGCGAGAGAGAGAGAGAGAGAGAGAAAATAAATAAATAAATAAAAATTTAACACTAATTAAATAAAAAAGACATCGCTAGGATAGGCGCTTCGAGGATACATAAAAACTTTTAAAAAAGACACTTTAAATGACATACAAATACAATTACAAATTATTCTTCAGATTACAAAAAAAAAGGAAAAGTTATTATGTCAGAGAAGGAAAAAAATCAAGAAACAAACAAACACAGTTATATCCAAGAGTATACAGAAATATGGGAAATAAAAAAAGGTCATTTTTAAAATCTATGTAAGAAAGCCAAGAGTCAAAGACGAATAGTTGATAGGAGCCGCATGGCCTAATTGCTGCCACTTTAATTAATTAATTACAAACTAATTACTTATAACTTTATTACTACTCGATTAAACTCGATAAAACAGATGATGTATATGTATGTTTACGCGTATGCACACGTATAAGCGTTCGGGATGTTCTCTATACACATGCATGCGTAAATATGCATAAAAAAATATATATATATAATAAATATATATATATAAATAAATATAAACAAAGAAAAAAAAGGAGTACGTCATGCCACTTTTCAAACTAACTTTTTAGAACGCAGATGACGAATCAGTAGGTATAGCAGAAACTAATTAAATGAAAAGATTACAAAAAAATAATTAAATAATAATTAATTACTTAAATTATTAATTAAATAACATAACATTACATAACACTAAATAAAAAAAAAGAAATTTCTCTTCAAATGAATTGGGAATGATTGATTCGCGGCTATAGGATTCGAATATTTCCAATTGTCCAGTCCAAGAAAAAAGAATAAAGCAAAAAAATATAATTAATTATAAATAATAATAAAAAATAATAAACTTAAAAAAAAAAATAACAAGATGATAACAAAAATTAAAAAGAAAGATAGAAACATACGATACGTACATTTACAGGGCGCCGCGTGAATTTTGCAACTCGCGAACGCGGAGAGAAAGAGAGAAAAAAGTACGAGAGTAAAAAAGAATGAAAAAGAGTGGGAGAGAAGGATTACAAACTCTTTTCTTCGTCGTTCCTTCGATAAAATTAGAAATAATTAAATTTATAAATAAATGAATGATTCTTTCGATATCTCCGCAGAGAGTATTTAAACACGACGGGGCCCTTACGTACATTTTTTTCTTCAAGCTTCGTTTTTTCTCTTATTCACGAAACGTACAAGCGAACAAATACACACACACACACACACACACGCGCGTCAATCATTACGACGAAAAAGATTACAAAAAATTAATTTTACGATTTACTTTACAATAGAAAATATTTGTAACAAATGAAACAAATCGTGAAGTGAATTTTTGTTGAATCTTTTCGTCGTGATTACCGGCATGTATACTGAAAACAAAAAACATATGGAGAAACGGGAGACACATGAAAAAGAAAAAGGACAAATTCGTTAAGCGTTTCAATTCGCGGAGATCGAAGACGCGAGACAATCTCTGTGAAATGTACGTATCACAATGTCGAAAGGGTCGAAACGATCGGATCGGTGCCTAGCTCATTTTCTATACACTGTTCCTTGATTAAGACATGGTCACTTCGTACCTGCTTGCTGCCTGCCTGGTTCGTGTTACATAAATAATACCTACATACATATTTCTAGTCGTACCGAGGTATATCACGTTGTGTACTCTCCTCGACATCAAAATAACGTCCAAGCATGTTGCGTACTTTCGTTGTGATAATTCGACGGTCGAACGAGCGAGTAAGGGTGTGAACAAGAAAAAAAGGGTCAATCGAAAAGAGTTTGTGTGTGTGTGAGAGAGAGAGAGAGAGAGTTAGAAAATAAAACAAAAAGGTGGTGGAATTCACCCTCGCTTGTAAATTGTTCTCCGTTCACACATTACACACACACACACACACACACACACACACACACACACACGAATACACAGAAAACGTAAATGTATTTATGATCGATCACATGTACTTGCTCACTCACGCTAATAGATTTCAACATACAAAACAAGTATTTACTTCTAACACTTACATACAGACATACATTGTATAATTTGTTGCATATCCCGTCGATCGTCGCAAAGTTTCGCGATATTCCCGGAATGTTGATGGTTTCGACAGCTGTTTCGACATGTCTCTCTAGTCGGTGTTTCAAAATTTCCTGATGGTTTCCATCGAACGTCGCTCGCTCCGTAATTGAATTACCGTCGAGAGGAACATTTAAAAGCGGGTAAGAGTGAGTGAAAGAGAGAGAAGTGAGAGAAAGGAAACATTTGATCTGAAGTACGTATGTGTGACACATGAGCAATAAATGCATACACATATAAATGATATTACGTACATCACGCGTATTTAATTATTTGACATATATTTCTTTCGAGAAAAATAAAAAATCTAAAAACTAGGTAGCAATAGACGTTCGATACTAATCGTCCGGAAGGATAATTTTGAAACGGGGACGGCGCAATTACACGTACACGTTTACTTTTAGTGGAATAATTAACAAAAATAAAAATAATAAAGAAAAAAAAACACATAAATAATAAAAATAAATAAAAAATAACGAATAATGGTAAAGAAGCCTCCATCTCTTGTAATATTTTTATTATCGCAAACGTAATATTACATTATTAAATTATATTAAATAAAGGATTACGCCACTGTTTATTATTTATCGACTAACGTTCAACTAATACTTGTAAATAAATAACGAAAATATTTTATCTATATATTTCCGATCCGGGGGTGTCAGGCGGGGGTGGTGAAATTACCTCTTGTCCGCTCTAGATCGATGATCGTGCGATCATCGTTCGCCTGCCCCTCTATTGTTACACCATTTCAACATTGCATTTAATAAATTATATATTTATTGACTCACTCACCTTTTGACTTAGCCCTTTCGCTCATGTTTCTTTTTCCTATTGATATGTGCCAATTTATTAAGTATAAATATTTTCATTTCGTGTGAATAAAAGTGTTGATCGTAAAAAGGTAGGTGTTCAATATAATTCATATCGATTTATTATAGTAATTTGATATTTTTGAAATAATGCTAATCGTATAATGAAATGGAAGAAAATATTTTTAAACACATTTCCTTCTGTAACGATTTATTTCTTCAAGCATATACAAACGAGATACAAACTCTTCGTTTCGTAATACAAATTCAAGAATCCTTTCGAACACAATGAGTTTGTTCTTAGAGTAAGAGACGAAGATGAATAAAGGATAAAGAATAGAAGAAAAAAGAAGAGTAAGAGATTGTGATAAGAGCGAATGAAAATGAAATCAAAGTGATTAGAGTTAAATAAAAAGAAAATATTAATGAGCAATTGATTACAATACGACTTCTTGTTTTGTCAATTCTCAAAGTAAATTATTTTAGGAATTGTTATAAATAATTTCACGCGCGTATTTAAGACATAGATTGTTTCTTTAAGACAAAACAAAAGACTCTCGGTTAGACTTAAAATTAATTGTGGAAAATTACAACGAAGCTTCTAACGTTTTCGTTAATCGTAATAATTGAGAGATTGATTCTACGCTTTGATAAATAATGATTAATTATTCTTTCCTCGTACATACACAATACACATACATTCGAATATTCATAATTATCGAAAATGCAAATGTTAATATTTTCGATAGTACGTTCGTGTATAATTCTCTAACACGTTGAGAAATCCTCGTTGGTGTTAGAGGTTAGTTTTACGAATCTAACACAGTTACACGAGTTCACGAAAGATTTTGTTTTTTACAAATTGACGTGTCAACTGAACAATGGATAAAGCTTTTAATAATTTAAACATCAAAATACTTGTACACGATGATTTTCACGATCGCAAATGACGACATTACCGTTGGATGTAACAGCAACACCTTCGAGACCTTTGAATTCTCCATCTCCGCTTCCCCAGCCACCAAACGATTTCAAAAAATTACCTTCCGGACTGAAGATTTGTATTCGATTGTTTCCGGAATCAGCAACGACGATGTAACCTTGTTCATCAACCGCTACTCCTCTTGGAAACTTAAACTGACCTTCGTCCGAACCCTCGGATCCAAATGAACTCAATACACGACCGTTCACGTCGAATATTTGAATCCTATGATTGTTCCCATCGCTTACGATCACACGATTGGTGTTGCTAACCGCTATGTAATGTGGATGTTCTAGCTGACCGCGTCCACTACCACATGATCCGAATTTTCCCACGAATGTCCCGTCCGATTGAAATACCTACGACGATTCGATTCCGTGATATACACGAAAATGACACAATTTCTTATCCTATGCTCTACTTTTATTTTCTTATATAATTAATATAAATATTATGTAATATTAAAAACGAAATGAAACACCATCGCTGACCAACTATTATAGAAATTTCGGATAATTCATAATATGAAAATATAAATAAATAATATTGATCCTCTCGTTACGGTATGCTTTGGTGTATCGTTGTATTGTACGACTTTTATATGGGTCGCTAATAACAAAAATGTTAATAATAATTAGCCAATAATATATAAAAATTGTATAAGAAATACTGAAAATTATTTTCTTTTAGGTAGGATACAAAATAATTGAATGGAATCACTGTGATTCCGAACGAAATGGCCAAACGATTACTTTTTTGATATCTAGAATATTAGTGATTAGGGTGGTATTAAATAAATGATTTCATCGACCCACCTGTACCCGGTGATTCTCTTTATCGCAGACATAAATAAATCCAAGAGCATCCGTGGTAATACCCCAGGGATAATTGAATCGTCCGTCTGCGGTACCTTGAGAACCAAAAGCCCTTAGAAAACGTCCAGAAGGATCAAGCACCTGAATCCTATGATTATAACGGTCAGCGATGATATATTGGCCGATTCTGTTAACGGCCACACCTGCGAGGCAGTCGAATTCACCTTCACCGCTTCCATATGTTCCAAATTCCTTCAGGAAGTTACCGTTACTGTTAAATACCTGGAATTTTTAAATCAATTCAAACTCCTTTCTATTTCAGCAAAATTAAAAAAGAAAAAAATTAAAAAAAAGAAGAAGAAATTAAGGACAAAACTCCTACGGTGATTTTTTAATTATAATATTTTTATGGAGATTCGTATCGAAGGTTTTTTATTTATTATTTCGAAAGGAAAATTATCCAACAATTTTTGCAAAATAATATAAAAACGAATAGCGAAGCTAATCTTGTTTTCTTTTTTTACGCTAAATAACGCTAACACGAGTGTAATTAAATTAAACGCGCGTGGGAAGTTTAGACTGGAAATGTTGCATGCATAAAAAGAAATCTGAATTCAGTCGCTCGCATTCGAATAAACAAAACGTAAAGAGAGAGAAAGGGAATGCTTTCTACAAGTGCATAAAATTATTGACGAAATAAAAGTTAAATGCGTTTTGTTAGAGTTCTGGTAACATAATAAAAGCTGCATGAAACGCGATCGACTGGATTCTACACTCGTGTGTTGAATGAACACGGAGATTGAAACACGAGGGTATCGAGAATTTTTGTTAAATATTTTATCATCGCGATCATCGTAGTCATGGTCAGACATTATTAATGAAGCTATGAGTCATACGTGTCATGTGCGTACGATCATATTCATTTGATTTATTTTACTTGTATTTTTAAGATGAATTTTTAAAATTATTATTTGATTAAGTTTCGAACAATTCGTAGGTAAAAACTTGATTAGTCATTTTTGTTTTAGAATAAACTATTGTAATGGTAGGATAATCGTCGTATTCTAAACTCTTTTTTTTGTTGAAATACTAATAAAGTACTTAGTAGTCTAGCGATTGGCCTTGGGACATTCGTATGACGACTGCAGAGAGTGTCAAAAGTACTACAATAGCAGAGACACGGGGACGTGTTGCTGCAGCGGTACTTGCCCGGCTGAAAAGAATTTTTAATAAAGAAGGTATAGACAATGTTCAGAAGTCTATACGTTATCTGTATATTATTTATATATTCTCTCTTATTTTTTTTTCTTTTTTCATACTCTTTTCATCAAAGGGTGGGAGAACAAGAAAAACAATGCTTCATATAAATGTCTATAAATCACAAATTTCAAGCAGTATAGAGACCAGTGAGTGTTGTTGTGTTTCTGCGAATTGTGTATAAACTAAAAGACAAATTTATCGTTCCAGACAAATTTTCATAGTCGGACTCTCTCTCTATCATTTATATCGTTATATCGTTACTATAATTTTTTTTTAAAGAGTGTGTGTGTGAGTGTGTGTTTTTCTTCAAAGACGTTCGACGAAATTTAATGTCGAGTCGAAAACAATCGACGACTCGACATTAAATTCCTTCCGACTTCGTTGAAAATTTGTAAATCGTTTACTTTTCTTTTTTTACATTTTTTGTTTCTTTTTTTAATTGGGTAGGGAGTTGTTCGGAGAAAACAGAGATAGATAGAGAGAAAGAGGCATCTGAAGCCTCTACACGCAGATAATCGGTGTACTTTGATAAGGGCCTTCGTAGGTCGTTGGACGACATCGTTGCTGAAAGTTATTATTTACTTGAACACGATGATTGGAGCTGTCAGCGACGACGATGGTATTGTCCGGGCCAATCGCAAGGCCTCTTGGCCACGTAAAGCATCCGGCTTCGCTCCCCCGCATCCCAAACTTAAACAGCTGACGCCGCTTCAGCAGGTAATTACTCCTACAATCGAATGAAAACATATTTTAATTCAATTAAATCTAAATTATAATAAACCTTTGAAATGATTATCCGACTTTTACTTTCAATTTCATATATTTTTCTGCTTTTTATCCGTTGAAAAAGAATTGAAAAAGAAAGCACATTTTTTATTTTGTAAATGTTTGGCTGAACATTTATAAAAGAACTTTGGTAATTTTCAATACAGAGGATGTATCCATTTATACATATTGTATTATTTTAGTATACCATACTCCTATACCATATTCAAATTTGTTTTGGAGAATAATTGAGCAAATTTAATTGGACAGAGAAGGTACTTTTAGCTAACGAACTGTGTGTGTGTGTGTGTGTTAATTAGGAGTTAATTATAATTAGTGTGTACAAAATAAAAATAGGTTATTTACATTAGATAGATTGGGAGAGAGGTAAATAGAATATAGATGAGTTGGATCAATAGTAGCATTAAATGTTGCTGATGTAGGCTTCGCAGCTAGCGTTAAGAATTGTTCTTCGAAGAGGGTGGAAAGTTAAAACTGTTGTAAAAATATTGATATTTACCTAGTGGAGGAACCTGCTGCCGCGGGTATAACGGGAGCTGCTGTAGGGGACGTGGGGGAGCCTGACGGGTTTTTTTGATCGTCATCAGAAGATTCGAAGGACGTTTGACCGGTGTGCCTAAGAGGTAGACCCAGCGATAACCTTCTAGAGGTTGCGCTGGCGCTAGAAAAAAAAAAATAAAGTAAAATAAACATAAAATGAGACGTTGAGAACCAGCGTGGACCAACTCACCAGCTGTGATTTAAAAAAACCGCTTTAGAAAACTGTACAAATTTTTGTTAATTTGCTTTAAGTTTTGAAAGTGGATCCCTATTTTTCTGCCTTGGTAGGTTGAATAAGAGGCAAATTTAAAAAATGTATTAGTTTTATTACCAAATACTGGGGATATTTAGGGAAAGAAATGAGAAAATGTGAGATAGTCCAGTTTGGTTTGAAACGTCTCAAATGGTTTTGCAAAAACACGTATAAATAGAAAATAAATGAAGCTACCTGGATGAGGGAATCGAGGTTGTCGTGGAAGGCGGCTCCTTGTCTTTGGCACTACGATTACCGTATTTATTTTTAAGATATCTTGCCCAAGAGCTGAGAGCTGCGCCATCCTTTTCGGTACCGGATCGGTCCCGTTCTGGGCTCGGTTCCCTCGACTTCAAAGCGTGAGTACTACGGCTACGTGCTAGTTCAGAACCGGCGCCGTATTTTGCCGCGAGATAGGCGTTCGGTGATTGGGTGGTTGGGGACGGTGGTTCCTCGTCTAGATCTACCTCGTCGCCCCCGAAATTGTGGGAACTTCTCGAACGTGCCAATCGTTGCCGTCTCTCCTTCAGTGCTGCGTAACGCGACCGGGGTAGAAGGGTTGATGGTTCGGTTGTCGTTGTTGTTGTCTCTGTTTCTCCTATCGCCGAGGCAACGTTCTCTCTCTCTCTTTCCCGTTCTCTCTCCCGTTCTTTCTCCCGTTCTTTCTCCCGTTCTTTCTCCCGTTCCCGTTCCCGTTCCCGGTCCCGTTCCCGCTCCCGCTCCCGCTCCCGTTCTCTTTCTCTCTCCTTCTCCCGTTCTCGCTCTCTTTCTCGTTCTCTTTCTCGCTCTCGTTCTCTTTCCCGCTCTCTCTCCTGTTCCCTCTCTCTCTCCCTCTCTCGTTCCCTCGCCGCCATTGCCGCCTGACTTCTGCTCTTGTTCAAGAACCTGAAACATTACCGCCACATCCAACGTTTTCCTCAATTCATTTAACTACTTTCCTATTTTACTTTTCTTTCTTCTTTTCTCTTTTTATTTTTCATTTTAGTATTTATCATTTGTTTTGCGTGTATTCGTATATGTTTATAAATTAGGGTAGTCGTTATTGGAAATTTTTCACTCCTTAGTTCGACTTTAAACAAATTGATACATTTGTTCATTTATTTCTAACCGAATTGGAGTAGTTTATTCATCAGATCCAAAATGACAACCCTAATAATTTGATGTATGTATGCATGTATGCATGTATGTGTATATTATGATCAATATTTGGTGAGATTAGTCAAATGTTATTCTCGTTTCAGAATTATTCGTTATTACAATGGTTTAGGTATACACGCGAGCATACACGAACGGTTGCTATTATCGATCATGCCACTTTCGATCGCGTTCTTTTTCATATTTTTTTCTCACGAGATGCGTTTTTTTTTTATTTTTTTAAATTGATTTAATCTCTATTAAATATAATCCTTTGCGAGACGAAATTATTGTAGGCGCGATGTTACGTGTGTTAGCGTAGTTATTGTATCGATTGTAGAGTATTAAACGCGAATGATTTTATCCGAATAATGTGCACGCGTTTTTGGGTATTAGTATAGTTAAGTACGTTTTTGATGCAGCATTTAACCCGGCAAAGCTTTCGAGAGATAAGAATATTTGTTAATCACTTTGAGTTAAAAATGAATTTTGTTGTTCGGGATCCATCGATCCACCTTTGTTTTATTCGAATCAATGATTATCTAATTAAATTATTATTATTCGAGAACGAATGGGTTTATTTCTTTTCATTGTCATTGTTTCGGAATTTTGTATTTTTTAGGTCATTTGTATTTTATTGCTAAAAAGTGGATCGATGGTATCTTTTATTTATTTATTTTTTTTTCTAACGAATAGTTAAATTCGATTTCCATCTAAACATATTTCCCATGATATTATTTTATTTCCGCAGATATTGATTTTTGAAAGTTAGTCATGGAAAGCAAAGTGTTTGATATTCGTCGATCGATATTCATCCACTCACCATTCTCCTCTACCTCCTTCTCCTCTCTACCTCTTTAACATCGGTCATGAAAAAGTTAGATGGTTGCATCGTAAAAGAGTTATTGACAAATAGCGAAGAAGTAGATTTATGTGTTTAAGACATGTGATTTTTTATGTTTTCATTATTTTTTGTTGTTTTAGAATCGATGATTCGATCTATTGTTTGATTTATAACCGAACGATTTCTTTCTTTAGTAATACTCGATTTAAAAGAAATTCTTACGAAAACGTCTTATTTATCGTAGATCTAATTATTTTATGTGAATAAATTCTATAAGTTATGTTTTGTAATAAATTGGATAAAATTTGTGAGAAAAAGAAATTCGTTGGTGGGACTTTTGAAATATGTCCTTTTTGATTGTTGTATTGATTGAAATTAATTCGATTAATTGAAATACTTGTTGAGACTATTATTCGCGTTACTCGTTTGACAAGCTCGTTTTTTCTTTTTAATTATTACCACATAAAGCTATTTGTTAGAATTTGAAGAGAAACATAAATAAATGAAGAAAAGAAAGACATCGATTTTGTGTTTAGTGATCCGATCGATAATTATATTATTCATAATATTCAATTAATTTAATATAATATTAAACAAAAAATATTTTGGATACGTGTGTCTATATTTTGATACTTCATGAATCAATAGAAAATAGAAAAGCGTATTTACTGTATTAATGTAAACAAAATATTAAGTAGACATTAATATTTTTTATATTATTTGATATGCCATTATAATTTTCAGGCTATTATCGACAAGTATTGATTTAGTATCGGTCTGATCACTAATTATGCGTAAAACAGTGATTCCCAAAATGTGTTCTATAGAACCCTGAGATTTTAATTAAAATAACAAACTAATAAATTTAGGGATTTTTTGTAAATTATTGGGACTGCAAAAATTTTGATATTATTCATATTAAGAATAATATTTTTTTAAGTTTTATTTCATTGGAACACAACTTGTCATTTAATTTGGGGTTTTTTTAAAATGTTAGAAGTTCCACGACGTACAAACACTTTGGGAATCCCTGACATAGAATAAAGAAAAAAAATGTATAAATAAAAATCGTAGATCGTTAGTCTTTTGAAAGCGATTACTACTCACTATAACTGTGCAGCCTACAACATGTAAAGCATTTTGGGAATGATAACGCATTATACCTGACATGAAATCGGCTGATAATTCTTCCACGAGTTGAATTTCTCTCAACGTAGTCCAGTGCCGTATTAAGCGTTTTCAGCATTCCGGAATCAATAAACATGAGTATTAAATAAATTAACCGTTTTTATTTCTTTATTTTTAAACAAATGATTCAACGTTATAAATTAAAATTTTTTTATGCTCCACACGATAAGCTCGTTTGTTATAAAAAATATATCGGCATTTAAGCATATTTAAAGTTAAACTATAATTAATTGTAAAATTCTCTTTTTTTTTGTTTATAGCGTTACCTTTTCCATTCTTTCAAAAGTTCTTTCTTAATCCGGCACTGAGTGTCATGTTTTTTTTTTAAATCATGATGTTATTCATGGTGTTACTTCGATTTCGGTAGAGTGAGTTTTTCACTGACCACCATATCATTGTTGATTATTTATTATTGTTCACTCTAACGTTCAATTTGTCAGTGTAATAAATATCTACATTTTTTTTTTCATTAAAATAAAAATATATTTTCTCTTATTCCCCGCTGAAAATGATAAGATGAAAAATTTCAATCGACATATGCGTCGATTATTTAAATGCTACTATCACAGGATAATCAAACTGATACAAATAATAATAATAATAATAATAATTAACAAATAATATAAAATATCTGTACAATTGAAAAACGGGGATGATACATAAAATGATAGATAAAAAGATAAACATTAAAAAAATTATTGTACAAAAAAGAAAAAAAAAAAGAACGACAAAAGAGAAGAAGAAGAAGAAAAAAATAAGAAAAAGAAATTCTCTTGCAAGCGGGTACACAAATGATTTCTTGGTTACTATACGTATACGTACAATAAATATACTGTGAGGACAGTTTTGACAGGGAAATAAATAATACGAGTTATCACAAAGAAAATGCAGTTTATTTACCACACCAACAAACTGACTCTCAAGGCGTATTTCGCTAAAAAGGAAGAGAAGAGTGTACAAAAACTTAAAAATTAAATTTCGCGATAAGTTCATCGGCAAATGATGGGTTACGTGTGTTTATGTCCATGTGTGTATGCATATGTGCACGTGTATTAAGAAAATAACACACGACCCGGAGTGCCCATTAAGGCCTTACATACGTCCAAAATGTTTCAAAAATCGATCGATTTTTCTTTTTTAACGGATTGCTGTTCTCTATAGTTTTAGGCTTATTTCTGTGAAAGTCGATTGCAAAAATTCCCCATAGATCCAAAGTTATGGTAGAAAATGTGACTGCCCGACGAGAGTTTGGTGCGCGCAGATAGCTGTCCATTGTTTGAGATACTTCAAATTTTAAACGCGTATAACTATAACTTTATTTTACAAGAATTTTTGTATATTCTATAGATCGATCAAAATTTATTGCAGATATGATCCAGACCGTGGAGCAACTTTTTTTTCTGAGTGTTGAGGATCACGTGATTTTTTATATAGTAATTTTTGTAAAAATAAAGTGAAATAAAATTTGTAATAAAGTTTCAATATCAATAAACAATGTGCACTATTTATTTTTATTAATTTCTATTGTTATTCCTACTAAAAAATTTGTTTCTTTTAGCGCATTTTTGGCGCTGCTAGACGTATGTAAGGCCTAAAATGATATATCGCGAATTATTTTCCTTTTATCTTTTTTATATTTTCTTTTTTTTGGGAACGACTTTGAAAGCTTCGGCTTTTATTATTGCGTGGATTTTTCGTAAGCTGCTTAAATAGGAGGACGGTTTCTCACTACACTCGTTTCTTTGTATTTTTTTTTTATCTTTTTGTGTTTGCGTGTACGTATGTATTTATGTGTACGTGTTCGTGTATTTGTTTGTCACAGAAATTTGTTATAAAAAACGACAAAAAATCTTATACGAAAGCTAAATATAATCTAAGAAGAAAAAAAATAAAAAGACGCGAGAAGCGTGTCGCGAATAAATTTTTAATAAACAAACAAATAATGGAGAATCGCGCTCTTATCACAATATTTCAAATGCACGTTTTATATTTACGTTTAGAAGCATAATGCAAACGATCAAAGTCTATTGATTATTAGCGTTTCGTTGTATTCATCCGAACGAGGATGAAACGAGACTCAAAGAATAATCGTCGATAAATTAAGAACATATTTTGATATTATAATTATAATTCTAAGCGAGTAAAACGAATGTATTTTTTTGTATTTTAATTATTTTTTTTGTTTAATCTATTGAAGGATATGCGTTTTGCGTCGTGCAAAATGGGAGCAAGACTATTGCGAGATAAAAATGAGGGTTAATTTCGAAATGATTATTTGATTGTTGTTTACCATTTTTAATATGAATGAATTATATTTTTAGTTTTCTACGAATTGTTTAATTTGGTTTTTTATTTTTTCCTGTTTAGTAAAACATGGTAAAATGATGGACTCGTGTCGCGAACACGTTAAAATGACGAATTAGTGTTAATGACAAGTCAGGAAAAAATCTGTCATCGATTAAACGAAGCCGAGAACGCGACGTGTATTCTATATTTAATGATAACAACATTTTACCATATTTTTCCAAGAAGCCATAAGTGAATACCGGTTATTTGTATGGTAAAAAATGAGGTAACACGACGAAAAACACGATAAATAAGGAAGGAGAGTAGATGAAATAGGAGCTGGGAATGAAGGAAAAGAAGTACGAAAAACGCGTGCGGTTTACGCTAGTAAATATGGCCATTTTTTTGTTTTTTAATCCAAAAAGTTATAGCCAACAACATAGGCAACTGAACGACGCTAGTAAACTTTCTAATTGAAAACTTTTCTAAAATACAATAGCGGCAAGAGCAGTTACAACAAGGTACTTTTTGTAAACATACTTTTGGTGGTTTTCATTTGAGCTTAAATATTTAACTCGCAAACCGCAACGAGCATTGAAATAAGGGGGTGAAACTAGGGTGTGCAAAAGGTGGGTGTTGGAGTTAAGGGTGGAATAGGGGTTGAAAAATGATAAAAAGAAAAATGGAGGGATGGAGTAGAGTGAGTGCAACGGTTAAAGGAAAAGGTTCATTAGAACACTGTAACACAGTACGGACACACAGAAGACGGTGGTTACCATCTGCATCGGTATACTGATATCAACATCGGTCGCATCTTCGTGTTCGTCGGATCTTTCGGTTTGTTTAGATCGGTTAGCGTTCGCGATTAACGCGCCGTTCTCGACGTTAGCTCTCGTTACGAGGTCGGTGGTCGTTTGGGAACTATTCGTGCTCGATCTTCCTCTCTTTAATTCCGTTTTATCCAAGGAAGGTGGTTCTTCTGTTTTCGACAAGTTCTGGATAGTTGATTCGTTGTCTTCGTCGTTGACAATCATCCAACCGTTTTCCTCGATGCTCCAATCGTCCTTTTTGGGTTCTTCCGACTTGTTGCTGTCTTCTTGCCTTTCGATATTCTCCTCGTTTTTTATAGTATCTTCGGTAGTTCTTCGAGAGCCTGTCGGGGAATTAGTTCTTTCGGATTCGCTTTCGGACTCGTCCGAAATCAGCCAACCATTTTTACCGATACTGCTTTGCCTATACACTCTGTTTCTCGACGAATAGTCAGGACTCTTGGATGCGTTCAAATTTTCATTTATATTTTTCTCGTCCTCCTGTCCGATCATTAAATTGTTGTCTTGATTTTTCGAGGATCTTATCGATCCATCCAATTGGAGATCTTGATCGGTAACGAGCCAACCAATATCGTCGAAAAGTTCATCCTCGATACTTTTATCGGATACGAGGGAAGAACTACGTGCATTTCTGTCACTATCCGATCCTTTATGAATGCTGATCACTGTCCTTTCATCCTCGTCCTCGACCGAGTCCGAAGTTGATTCGTCCCCGGTTATGGATGCTTCTTCTTCGTCCTTTGAATTTTCTTCAGCCTTTTCAAGCCCATCTTCTTCCTCCTCCCCCTCCACTCCCTCCACCCCCTCTTCATCTTCTTCCTCCTTATCAGTCTTATACTCTCTCGTGTTCTCGTCTTCGAGTTTTTCCGTAACGGTCCTCGAGCCGTTCACCTTACGACAATCCTTGACAACGTCCTCGCGTTGGTGCTCGCCGGCCTCGTGATTGCTATCCTCGAGACGACGGTCAGTGATACTATTCACGGATCGGGATGAGGAATGAGATGAGGTATTTGTGGTATTCGTCAATGTCCTTGTCGTCGTCAGATTCGTATTCGTATCGGTCATTGTCTTAACGTCCTTAGCATTATTACAGTCTTCCGGTCTAACGAGCTCGCTCGATCCAACGTCCTCGTTAGGTTTACTCGCGTTCATCTTTCTATCATCGTTTTTTAATCTTTCAATAATGTGCTGGACGTTATTCCCGCACGTAAACGTCAACAAATGATCATTCTCGTCGTGATCATCAATTGAGATAGTTTTAGATCGTTCACGTTGAACACGATTATTTTGTTCTTGTTCTTGTTTTTCTTGTTCGATCAAATTTGTTCCCGACTTATCGTCACCGTCATCGTCCTCGGCACTATCGTCATCGTCGTTTAATTTTGACGTCTTTTCTACGAACCTGCTGGAGGAGTAGCCACCAGTAGACCCTATCGGTACACCACCCACACCACTTCCGGCCATCGTCGAGCCGCTCGTCGAAGTCGTCATCGTCAGTGGACTCGTAGGACTCGTCACGATATGTCCGGGACTTCCCCTCGGTGTCGAATACCTAACAATTAGATCGATCGAGTTCTTTTCTCATTTTTTTTGCTTTGCTTCCGTATACTTTTTTTTCTTTCTCTCTCTCTCTTTTTATTTTTCTATCTCTTCTAGTAATATGGTTCTTTTCTTTCTCGACTTTTGTTTCCGTTTTATTTTCAAAATTATTTTATTCTATTTGTTTATTTTACGAGCTCGATCCTTCGTTATTTTATTTCTCTTTTTCTCTTCTCATTTCCTTCGTTCTTTTGGTTAATTTTATTTAGAAGTTTTTCGTTTAATCGCGATTTATTTTATTCGTTATTTTTTCTTTCTCATATTGGTGTGTTTAGGATTATAAATAATATGAAAAAAATTGTCTTCGGTCTCGCGAACGTACACACGCATAGATATTAGGTTTAAAAGAAAAAAAAAAACACGAAATTAATCGTCGTGTACATTTAAGATTGATCGTCGTTAATTAATTATAAAAAACGTGAGCACAAGCCGAATAGTGCTGGGTTAAGTTTCTAATAATTTACTATATACATAATTTTTTTTTTATTCAAATCTTTAAAATTTTTTTACTTTTTTAGAAAACTTAGAACACGCAAAACGAAATGACAAGAAAGGAGGTGAACGTATGCAAATACAATTACCGTATGTTTAACACAACAACAAAAAAAAGAATCGACGTGGTTTCGGGATACCACGGGACAACGTTTCGCCGATACGATTTAACTACTTTGACCGATGTCAGTCATGGTTTGTATGTAAAAGCAAACTGATGCAGGTCTCTTGTCGCGTCAACATCTGTTGACATTATCGCGTCGGCGAACCGTTTTTCGCATAGGATCTGTATTTTTCCCTATAGTCGGTACACCAATGGTCATCCAATTTTCAATGCATCGAAAAATCTTGTTTTGTTCTCGCCGAAACGTCACTCATTCAAATCGAATTTCAGATAAATTTATAAAAAGGGCTTGGAAGACTAAGTATTGTTCATGATTGTTTAATAATTCATATTATTTACATATATAATCCATAATATTATGTATCTATAATTTATAACAAAAACTCCATAAACTCCCCAAGTTTAAATTTTTCGTATCTATATATTTTTTAATTGAATTTATATGAAATAAAAAATAAAATTAAAAATGTCTGTACACGCATGACAGAGTTTGGACAGAGTTGACAGACTTACATCGAAAAGAAATAATTAATTTGACGTAAAAAAAATTGGATGATCTTGTGGGACTATTTAGGTGTAAGTAAAACGTAATTTAGAGATAGAATTGGGGTCAAATAATTGATAAAAGGTACTTGCCTGGTCGAGGGAGAGTCCTCTTTGCTTCCACGCCGGGCTTCAGCACTGCGTGCAAGCAAGGCACCAATGTCTGTACGTGCCATAGCTGCGTCATTCCTTTGACGATCCTGCGGTGTCGATGATGGGATGCTTGCCGTAGTTGGTGTTGTGCGAGTATCTGTTTCCGATTCCTCTTCCGTCTCGGATTCGGTTTCCTCGGAAGAACTGCTTGTTTCTTCTTCCTCGTCTTCCTCTTCGTCCTCTTTCTTTTTCGTAGTTGTTTCCTCTCTGCTTGATTGCGTTGTTGTTGGTGGTGGAGGTGCTGCACGATTACCTACAAACAACAAATCAAAAAGACCAGGTCCGACTAACTTTAGCTCTATTTTTTCTTTAACGAAACAAAAAGAAAAATTAAGATTGTTATTGACAGGATAGATAAGCGTTTTCTAATCTACAAGGTATGCCTCTGGCAAAAGCACGAAATACACTTCGCTAGATTTTACCTTTATTGTATTTGTTCCGCTTACATGAATTTTGTCTTTAAAAATTCGTTTTTTTTTGTTCTATTTGTTTTCAAAAGTTTTAATGCACTAGCCAAACGTTATTTTCACAATAAAAGAAAAATTCTTCGAGTTGTACATCACTCTTTTCAATACGAATCAAAATGAAGAGGTATGTAAATATGTAAGATATATTTTGTAAAATACATCTAAAATCCTTTGTTTCGTCACACGCGTTATAACAACGTTTTTTTTTTCCCTTTTTTCTTCTCCCATATAGGAGACTTACAAATTATATCGATATAAATTACATTTCCCTTTTGGGATAAGGATAGAATAGAAAGATCATCACAATATGTAGATTGTACATGTATATGTCTGAGGGGGTCAGATAGAAATTGAAGAGTCACGTTTTATCAACCTGTGCCTAAGAATCGGCTTTGGAAGGGCCTCGTAGCAGGAACACTGCTCGCTGTGGTATCTCTGCCGGAGCTGGCAGTGACCGTACTAGTGGTCGTATTTGTTGGTGGTGCTCTCGAGAGATATTTTTGTTTCATTTCCTCCGCAGTGAATGGGGCGCCCGTGCTACGAATTCCCGAACCCGTTGAACTTTCCGAACCCGTGCTAGAGTCCGAAGATGCACTTCTTGTTGCAGGTGCGTGGCTGTCGCTTGACGTTCTCCTATTGGTCCATTCAAATTTACATTTTTTACTACAAATTATTATGTACAAAGAAAACTTACGCGAACTGAGAAATGGGTTAGGGGAATATTTCTTATTAAAAAATATGAGATTGAAAATGTTTGGTTATATCACAATTTTGTTCAAAGTGTCTTTCATTTATCTAGAAATTAACAAGGAGAGCGGCAAATTGACAGGATACCGATTCTTTTTTAAGCTTTACGCAGTTGTATTGGTCTATCAAGACTATACAATATGTAAGCAGAAAACCCAATACTTGAATTTTTCGAAGAAAACGAATGACACAAGAAAATACGAAAAGGGATTTCAAAGTTCTGAGTTTTAACACACGAAAGTGGGTTGAAAAGTTTTGAGCTTTATGGTTTTTCACACCGCGTTAAACTCAAAACTTTTCTGTCCTTTTCGTGGTAGGCTAAAAACTTTACAATCTATAGTCGTTTATTAAGCTCAGAATTTTCAGTCTACCCGTGTACACTTTTTCTATAATTTCTTTTTTTCTTAATTAAAGTATAAAAAATGTATTTTTCCATCTTCGTTTCATTTTCCACCATGAAACGAATAGGTATATAAAAAGGCGCGTGAGACTTCTTCCTTCGTTTTTTTAGAAACGTTTGAGTATGGGGTTTTACTGTTTGCGCAGTGTACGGTCTTAATGGATCCCTAAAACTGTAGAGAATTTAGAAAAAATCGGTATCTTTTCAACTTGCCTCTCCTCTTATGAGCTCACAGTTTCAAATATTCTAAGACTATCACGGATTGTTTGTGATTTTTAACAACCATTGTGATATAAGAAACATCAATTTTGGCGTTAATTTTAGTTTGATTAATAAATTATCCTTAGCCTTTACAACCTATCCTTAGCCTATCTCACAATTTGTGTATTAAATTTGTAAATATCCTGCATATTTAACGCGCGCACATACTTATAAATGTAAAAGATACATTTTCTTCTAATCGTGTAAAAAGTTAAACTCATACGCGTTGGTAAAAGTCAAATGTTGCATTATCTGTTTTTTTGTTGTTAAGGAGAAACGGTAGATTCAGCTTAAAAGTATAAACGGTTGACCTAATTCGCATTGAAGGGAGCTTAATACCTCGCGATCGTGGGTGGTCTTCTGACCGCAGCTTCCTCCGGTTCACGGTCCGTTGGAGGTTCTCTCGGTTGTGGATGGACCGGTGTTGGTGGTTGGGGTTGTCGTTCCTCCACCGTCGTTTCCGTCGTTCCCTGTGGTAAGTTCTTGTTCTGCTTCTTGATCCTGGAAATTTCGTCGTCCTCGCTGACTTGTCTCGCCATTGCCGTCGGTGCTATTCTAACTTGTACCTACACGTACGTACGAAAGGGATCAACAAGGCTTGACTTGTTTTTATTCCAAAACATTTTCATTGCCATTTTATTTTTTCTTTTTTTTTTTCAAGCCCAGGATTGCGCGTTTTATTTCTGATTAATTCGCGTTGAGTCAAATTCAACATCGAAGAAAATTTTGTTTGTGTTTCACCTTCCGTTCGATCGTTTGAAATTCTAAACCTGAATTAGGCTAACCTGAGGTTTGGGTGTTTGAGGTTGAGCAGGTTGAGTGGATTCCTCTTTCTTTCTCTTGCCAGCTCTCTCGCATTCCTGAAGCTTTTTCATAACCCGAGGTGAATCCGTCAAACGGAAAATACCGGACAATGGTCCTCGCGCGGCATCCTCTGTGTCTAAAACTCGCTCTCGTAATCCTGATTCCTGTGGAGTCGACGTGAATCTAACTGTCGATCTCGAATCCCCATCGGAATCGTCGCCGTCCCGATGCCTCATAAAACGACTTCTATAACGTGATTTATTCCTCGGTGTATCGTACTCGGGTGCATCGTATCTAAAATTTCATTGGCTTTATGAAAATCATATGCAAATTTTTTATCTAATAAATTATTATACGTGTGAAGTATTGTAAATATTGTTATTTCAAATGATATTTATCATGCTATCGTATAATATAATAAATAATTTTAATCATAATTATTATAATATTAAATCAGTGAAACACAATCTAATTGCTCTACACGTAACACTTGGATCATCAATATGCCCCCAACAAAAAAATAAGAAAATAAGAAAGTCATTACAATTTGCCTTTTTTCTACAAAATTTACGAACAATTTTATAATTTGACCGGCAGCTAAAATCATATTTGTTTGCGACCATTATGGATAGTGCATCGCTATGCTATTAATTATGCGGTTGGCAAAATTTGTAACAACAATTTCTTACAATCTTTTTATAATATTTCGAAACGAGATGGTCGATAGGTTCGTTTAATAGAATTTGATCGCACTGGTGATGAAACTTCACATATGAATCCCATGTGAAAAGAGCTGGCAACGTGAATAACGTTAATATAACGTGGATGCTGCTGCTACTTGCTTGTTCTCGCGGCTTTTAATTTACATTCTGACGAGGCCATTTAATATAACGGCCCTGTTGGCAACGGTCTAACCACGCGAATTACATTAAAACGCTAACAATTAAACGCTCTACGTTACATTGTCGTTACGTGGGGTTGATGCGACGACATTTTAACGAGAGTTTGTTCTTTTTTTTTTTCTTCTGATATAACTATAATAAAAGAAAGTGTAATATCGGTGATAAAAAAATTGAAACGAGTGACATAGTTAATTTTTACATCGATGATAACGATAAATAAAAACAAAAAATTATAGAAAGAAGGAAGACGAATAACGATAGGAAAGATACGTAGAAAAGTCGAATGAAGAGGTACGCGAGCGTATTTATAACTTATGCTGGAACAGATATGTGGGACACTCTGAAAAATATACTCTCTCGAGCGGCACTTGGCAATGGACCAACGTAATTCCCGTCCGGGCTTAAATACATTTTTTACGAAGCCACGTTCTAGTTAAGTATTTCTCTTCTTCGTGAAATATCCTGTATGTATACACTAACACGGTTAGATATACCTACATTATACGCTTATGTATATGCACAGTATAATAAAAAGAAAAGAAAAGAAAAAATGAGAGAGAGAAAGGTATTAATTTCATCGATGATAGAGATTAAGTGTTCTATGATTTATGATCAGAACGATTTATAATATCTTTCTCTCTTTCAGTCTGTCTGTCTATTGGCAGGATCGGAGAATGGACGATAATTACTCGTATTCAGGAACATATCGATTCCTGGCTAGTCGTTCCTCTTCTTGCTGTCGATACTGCGAGGCTAGACGATGATCGCTCTTACTTCTCATAAGTCCAGGAGAACCTCCTGGCGGTGCTAAACTGCTCGAACTACCTAGCAATCCTCCACTTCCGCTTTCCGGTTTGATGTTAAGCTCTCCGTAACCGGCCACGTGAAGAACCAATTGGTTCGGATCATGGGCCATCATGAAACGTACTCTTCTACTATAATCTCCGGCCTCGTATTCGAAATTTCTGAAATTGTTATAACTACTGTTAATATTTTCAAACTTTATTGTAATATTATAGTCGTTATTTATAAAAATTACTTTTGTATAGCTTGCTGAGAGATATTGTTCGGATTTTTAACACGTTGACTGTCGTGTAACACGACCAATAGTAAAAATGCATAATTAGAGTAAATATCGATACCGATAAATTTTTAGATAATACCATTATTTTTATAAATGTTTGAAGAAAATAATGATATATAGAACATGCAAAAATAATTTTATAATCACAAGAAAAATATGCATGAGATTTTTTCTGTACGTAATTGTTTGATAAAATGCAATCTTTATCATCAGAACATTTCGCTACATATATCATTAACTTCATCCTAAATTCGGGAATTAAAATATTTTTCGAGTTACTTATTTGTATAACATCATTTTATTTATAACACAAGAAATCAGTAAAGCTTTATTGCCAATTTCCTGTAATATTTTATAGTTTTTTGCAGTGGTTTGCAAGCAGTCATTTGATCAGACAAATCAACTATAGATTTCCATAAATTATAATCGACTATCATTTTTGGACAGTTTAAAACAAACAACCAATAATGATGAAAATGGTCTACAGTGTCTCGAGGGTCACCGGTGACTTTACTATAAATAATGCATTAAACACAATTATACAACTTCCTTTATCAGTTGTAAAAAAAATTTCAACAAAATATGCATCCGATAATAAAAAATTCATATAAGCGTGACAGGCAAATTATGTGAAAAACGCGCGGCAGTCAACGTGTTAATAGGAAAAATAGTTCAATTGTTTATTGAGATTATAAAATATTCAACATTTTGAATATATAAAATACTATTATAATTAATTTTAATATAAATTGTTTAGAATGATTAGAAGACGCAAAACGGATGTTTAGAAGAATTTGAAGAGTAGAAACAAACCTGATGAATTCGACGGTACGTAGAAAGAGTTCTTTAGTATCGAGAAGTTCCGAATCGTCCCAAGGAACATTCTCATTGATGTGAGCTTCTGCCAAATCGCAGTTGCTTTGAATGTTAGCGATTTCCAATTCGAGATTCTCTTTGAGTTGTATCAGACCACGTAGTTCAGTACCTAAGTACCGGTCGACCTCGTTGCGTAGATATTCCGTTCGGTCTTTTAAAGCTTTGCTCAAACGTCTATAAATCTCGTCGACTTCCTCAGCAACCGCAGCACAATTAGTTTGGAGACCCAACGTATTTTTTTCGACCAATGCCAGGGCATCTTGTAACCTGTGGAGACCTCTTCGAACCTACAAAATCAAAAAAACAAATTTTTACTAATAACAAGAAAAATAATTGTCAATTTTTCAAGGCCACTATCATACATCTTTCATCATAAAAATAAAATTTGAAAGATTTTCTTGCCATAACAAAAAAAATAAATATTCATCCATAAAAAAATTAAATACTGAAATGTACAAATTTTTTTAGATTTTTTTTCAGCTTACACAAGTTTTTAGAATCGATTGATTGCTATACCAATTCCACGGATAACCGAGCGTGTCTTCATTTATTTTTAGAAATGTGAATTTGATTTGAATTCGATAGGTTGTATATGAACCTACACGTATGCACACACACACACACACACACACACACACACACACACACAGCAATATTTACATTGCTCTGTTGTTTTCTTGATCGAAATGTCTCTCGTTCTACGAGGTAACCTAACGCTCACCGTTCTCGAAGATGACGTAAAAGAAAGTTCTGGTTCGTATCTCGGTTCGTAAGGCACAACACTGTTTCAGTCGACGATGGAGTGAGTTCTACATTTAGATCATCCATAGTCCGTTTCACTTTGCAACGTATATGAAAGGATATTTGTTTTTCACTCGTAGAAAATTCCTAGAGGATTGCTTGAACGCGCATAATCATTATCGTGCCATTCATGGATCGCAACCACTTCAAATTAATTCCAAGGTATAATGTAATAAATTATTTCATGATCTAAATAATCTTTGTTGTTTGCTTAATTGTACAAAATTAAGGTTGTTTAACATTAATTACGTTTATATATTGTTTCGTTATTTAATTATTAATTAAATATTATTGTTTATTTAATTACCCCGAAAATGGTTTATTCAATGTTTCAAGATTGTAATATTGGATGCAATATTTTTTTGTTTTAATTGAAAGTAATAAAACGAAAGTAACTGGAATTCTATTTTCGTTTCTCAATGTATTAATTGGATTTTTTCTTTTTTTTTACATAGCTGAACGAATATGCAAACGTATGGGCAACTTATTTGGCGAAGAAAGGTGACATTACTCGTAGAAAAACAATGCCTTACGGAGAGAATGTTTACATTGTTTACAAGAGGGATGTTAGTCGATCAGGAGCCGTCATCGAGGCAGTTGATTCTTGGTGAGTTTCATGTCAGATTATTTTTCTACTTTAATTATTGAAATTGTAGTTATTTAATATTCTAACAAGACGTCTTATCATTTACATAAAACAATTTTGTTTAAAACAGAAACAATTTAAAGACAAATGTAATACAAACTTTTGACTTATACATTTATTTTATTGATCATCATCGAAATTATTATGATTATTTAAAACGGATGATCAATTTGGTTAAAAATTAATTCAAAAGATGCGCAATTAATGAATTGTTATGAATAGGTACGAGGAAAATAAATATTACAAATACGGAGAATCTCAAGCAGATAATTTAAAGGCGGTACGTCATTTTACGCAGCTGGTATGGAAGAGTACGAAATTTATGGGATTCGGAATGGTCATTTCTCCAACCGGACAGATCTATATTGTTTGCAACTACGATCCTCCAGGTAATGTCAAAAACGAATTCGCTGAAAATGTGTTACCACCGAAGGAACAAGAACAGGAAAAGAAGAAGGAGATAGAAGAGGAGGAGGAGGAAGAGGAGGAGGAGGAAGAGGAGGAGGAGGAAGAGGAGGAGGAAGAAGAGGAGAAAGAGGAGGAAGAGGAGAAGAGGGTAAGTCGACAGGAGATTTTCCTTCTCAAACGAGTCTTCATAAAATACACGTGCGAGAACGAAGCTTTGTGTAGTACCTACGAGCATCCTCCTTTTAACTCCCTTTAACCATAAGTTTTTCTTCTTTTCTATTTTCTTTTATTTTCTTTCTTTCCTTCTTTCTTTTTTTAACATTATTCCCACTTTACCAGTCGCTCCGCGAAAAGAAGTTTCAGGATGGCCCCGTTTAAAGTACCAACAGTATGTTACTTTCACCAAGCGTACGTGAAAATAGAATTTACGTTATACATCACTTTATTCGCGGATATACTTTTCTACCTATTTAGCCGGAATTTCCCATATTCTGCAATGCGGTATAACTCGTATAACTTCCTTTACACATCCATTCGTTGTGTCCTTTATTATTGTATTTCGCGTACATCTGTTTTTTCTCGAGAAAAATAAGACAACAAAATTACTTTATCCGCGTTACGACGTGTAATGTTTCTTAATGTTTATCACCTGGAAAATGTGATATATAACCTAGTATATTTTTCAGCCGTTACTTTTTGTCCTTTTTTTTTTTTATAATCGAGGAATAATACGTAAGCGTATTTAGAAATTTATTTTTAATGTATTGCGTATGTCAAAGTCAGAAATATTTATACTATTAGATATGATCGTTATTTTAGGAAGAAAGTGAAATTTTGAATTAGTATATTTTAGTAATAAAATTAAACAAAATAATAGAAATGTTGAATGAAAATAATCATGATTCAGGAAAGGTATATATAGTTCTGTCGATATTTCGTTGTCCATGTATACGATGACGTACTTTGAAACAAACAGAATGTCGAGGTCCGCATTAGGCAATTCGAGATTAAATTCTATCCACGATTCTGTTCGAGCATTCGAGAAGCATCGCGAAAAACTTGGACGTATCGCAAATTTTGACGTTGCAATTTTAGACGTCCTCCAAAAGTCTTGGCAAAATTTTGACGAGATATACCACGATTTCGTTCTTAATGATTTCGTATAAATCGAGCTTTATTTCCTGATCGATTTATTTTGAATTTATCACATTACCACCAAATTATTACATTTTATTTATTTTCTTGGTAGAAGTCATGTAGAGTAAATTGCAAAATATTCGTGAAGTACGATTGCAAAAAATATATTTCGTTTGATTTTTATTTAAAATCATCATTATTTAGTTTAAATATTAAATTAGAAAATTTTATTAGTATTGCAGAGTTATTTAAAAGATTACTGGATTAGGATGAAAATCTAATGGATTTAAAACAAAATTTTCTAACCATCTAAAATAATAATTTTAGAAATGATGACGATAATCTAAAAATAGAATTTTTGCGTGCATCTAAAATAACATTTTAGAATAAAAAATTTCTTGAATTAATTCAAAGTATAAAATGTAATTATTTATAAATATAAATTGACGAGAGAGAGATGAATATAATTGATGAAATGGATACAAATATATATATATATATATACCTGCGAGTTGATACGCGTAATTTCCCGTCTGAGGATATCCATATGCGCGTCCTTGCACTCAGGACAACATTTCTTCTCACAATGGACGCAGAGGGAACAATAGCTCTTTTCGGAGCAGACACCACATCGTTCCATAGTCTGACCACTGGTTGGATCTGGTAATTCCCCGGTGATCTCTATGTGTAACTCCAAAAATCGTTGTAGCGTCACGTTGGTGGGAAAGGCTTGAACACCCTGCTCAGTGGTAACGGAGATTAGCATTAACGATCGGAACTTATGTACTATTTCATTGGGTAACGTTTTATCGAATTTACTATCTATTTACGTACATATGTAGTTGTCTGTAAAATAAACGTTTGCTAATGGATTTTTCACAAAGTTTTATCCAAATCTTTCCAGAATTTTTAACGTAAAGTTCGATTATCTATAAGTTCTCTTTGAAGTACCGTAATTTATCTCGAATATTTTCTATCACTTAATACGAATAGAAGTCAAAGTAATTTCGATTATCTCGAATATTTCTTATTTATGTCGGTAGACCAATCAACGTGAAACTGTCTTTTTTATATCATTCGTTTAGAAAATAATTATTTACTATTTTATAATAACAAAAAAGAATTATTATTTTTAGTTAAAAAAAATAATCACTAGCAATAACTTCATAAATGTTTTCAAAATGAAAATTTTTCTAGCATACAATTTGTTCTTTGTCAGATATAAGAATGATGAAAAAATCTTTGAGAAAAATAATAGAAATGATGACGAAGTATATAAACGTTGATATTATTTTCTCTTGTATTTGCGTTATGATGGAATATCTGGGTGAAAAGGATTTTATTTGCATCGGTGCGATAAAGTTCGACGAGCGTAAAACACCTGCTCGCGAGAGTATACTCGCCATGCGAAATCAGATTAATAACCCGCTTTGACGGCTTAATGGTATAGATCGTAGCATCGACACGGTATATCGATAGTGATCGGTAGGAGGCTCTTGTGCGGTTTGCCGAAACACTTTTTGACGGCTCGTTCAAAATGTCCGAGTTTAGATCGACAGAACAGCTTTTTAAATCCCCTTTTCTTTTTCATCCTCCATTTCCACTTTCTCATAATTCTTCCTTTCTTTTCATTACATTTCATTTCGTCTGGTCTGGTCTGGTCTAGTTTCATCTCGTTTCATTTCCTTTTGTTTCATCTCGTTTTATTATTAGAAAACAACGTTATTGCATTAACATGATAAATCAGAAAAAAGAAAATTTAATGAAATTTCTAAAATTTTGTACTAATTAAATATACAACATTTTTTATTCTTCTTTTCTCATTTATTTTATTTCTAAATATCATGTGTGCACGAGAGATATTAAAATTTAATAATATTTGAAAATGTAAAAGTGTTGATGAAATACTCGTGAATCGATTTAATTGAATGAAAGAAATATTTTACTTTATTTTAATATCAATTTGTCTTATTAGAATCTCAAGTTTTGAATCATTTTAACGTCAGTAAAAATTCGAGAAAATGCAAAAATTTCGTAATTATTTACTTCTATATTCACGTATAATAATCAAGGTATGCAATAACACGAGATACAAATTAGCATATATTATTCACCCTACTCACGGAGTAGAGACTTTGATATTTATCAGAACACACTATCCATTCTCTTTCTCTCTTTTCCTTTCGAAAGGAAAGAGAGAGAAAAAGAGAAATTAAATATATTTATTCCCAAAGCTAATTGCAATAATCGCGTAAGTTTAATTACGTTTCCAGATAGAGAGTCCTCTTGTAAAGTAATTAATAAGTGTTCACGTTGATTGGTAATTAAAGTATGAGAGTCATTTAACCCAATTATCCGAGTTAGTGAACAGCGATTACGTTTAAATGGCGATGTTAACGTTAACATGATCAAACTGGTTTAGCCAAAATCGATACCTACACATACACACGTACATATTTGTACGATGTATATGAAAATGAAGATTTTTGGTATTTAGAAAATCTCATAGAATTTCATTATTTAAACGATCTTTAAAAAAAGAAAGAGAGAGAAAATAAGAGATAGACATGTAACGAAGAGATAAGATAGAATCGTAATCGATGTTTACTTTGAAAGCGCAATTATCGAAGAAGATATCGAATCGATATAGGATTACCTTGGTAAAGCTCAGCTTCGAACGGCCTTTCCGATCGGAATTTTCGTTCGGGCAATATGCCAACGTTCGTTTTAACGACTCAACTGTATCTCGATCGAACGAATTGCTTTTTTTTGAATACTAAGCTCGTAATAAAATATGTTGGTCATTGGTGTATGGATGCATCTATTTACGTACCCTTCAAGCATTAACACATTTCTACTAAATCAATTTTATTTTTTTTTTCAAATTATTATTATACCGAGTATTGGAATATGAGAAATGTTTTATAATTAATTCAAAATCAATTTCTTTATTCGTATTATTTCAATTCGTTTAGATAAATTTCGATAAATTTTATTTTATGTATGTATATACACCAACACCAACGAATTGATTTATTTTTCTATCGAGTTTTCTTTTTTATTTAAAGGCATATTATTCAAATCGATGACGTAGATACAGAACAAAAATTGTATAGTTTACAAATATTTACTTACAATTATAGAAAGTGTATTGGTTGATCAAAAAGTACTACCTGAATTTTTCTAATATTTATAAATACTTAAATGAAGAAAGAATATACATAAAAATAAAAAAAGAAATAAAATAACACTAAAGTAAATAACACCATAGTGTATTTTATTATAAGAAAAATTATTATTGAACAAATAATTGAAATATATTTCTTACTTTAAAATATAATTATTTGACCATTTTGGACATTTTTGTACGAAGTAAAATAATTTTGACCGGTATTGTATGTATCCATTATATACTTATAAAGTTATCTAGGTGTATAAGCTTACCTGATAAGGTATACGATGTTCGGCACGACATTCCGGACATTTGACCTGTCGACGAACATAATCGACCAGGCCATCCATGCACGGTTCCATGCAAAAGCTGTGCTGGCATGGTAAAAGCTTTGGGTTTCTGTAACGGTCCAGGCATATCGCGCACGTTAGCAGTTGCTCGAACTGCTCCATGCCTGTAAAATAAGAACACTATAGTTTTCCTCAGTAAAGCTCATCCTAGCACGGATCACGAGAGACTGCACTCTGCTTGTTTGCAACCCACGGAGGGAAGAAAACTCTCCTCCGATGCGCATCCGATACTATTTTAATACCGAATCAGAATGCAGTGTCATGTAGTTTAACAAATAATACGTCTTCCCACTTCGCGACAATTCCATTTCTCCCTTTTTTCTTCTTTTTTTATCTTTTTCTTCGTTTTTATTTCTTTGTTTTATTTTTTTATTCTCGCTTGTCGCCAAAAAAAGATTCGTTCAGTTACGTGAAATGTGAATTGGGCCAAGCCGAAAAGAAACCAACCCCTGACAATAAAAAACTAATCCTATAATTTTTCTGATTGTTCTTTTTTTTTTTTTCTCAGTAAAGAAAATTCTTAACATGTCGATTGTTACTCAAATTTTACATGTTTTATTATAGGGGTTCAATTATAACATTAGGTATGAAGAAATATAGTAATATTGGTCACAAATGATCCTCGCGGCCTTGTTGAAAGAAGAAAGAAGTTAACATTTTAACATAAGATAAATTTTATATTAAGTCTATTTAATTGTATTTTTGTGCTGATAAACTAAAAGAAATTTGAAAAAATAGTAATTATACTATATATCATTAAAAAAGAATAAATATTAAAATTAAATTTCTTCAATTTTAGATCACTGAAGATAGATCAATTTTCTGCAAAGCTTGTCCCAATTATAATTTCAAGCTGCACTAAGATGAAATAAATAATTAACGTTTTTTTCTTAATCATTATTATCCAACAAAATTATTCCACTTAATGTAAAACTTTAATTTTCAATAACTAATATCATTAAATTATTATTTTAAAGCATAAATCCCCTGACACATTTTGGTTAATAGTTTCATCATATTAACGACGTGAGTAAGATGTAGTATATGATGGAAAGGAAAGTTTGTCATCGTTAATAAATAGTTTATGCTTGAAGACCGTAATGCAATCCTACACACGCATACATTTTATCTAGATATATGTACACTTATATACAAAGATTAGATATGTATAGGTGAATGTGAGACGAATTACGGGTTCATATCGTGCCAAAGTAAATCTTTGAAGGAATATATATGTATATAAGTATATACAATCCATATATAGAAACATGTTCTCATCTAAACGAGTGGGTCTAAGAGTAAAGTCAAATCTAATCCTTGACTAGATAATGAATAATTCTAACAAGAGATCCCTATGACGTTTGTACATTTGGTCCTCTTTTAATCTTCTCTTGCTTGTCTTATTCCCCCGTTCTTTCTAAACATAAGCCAAATAAAAGACACCAATACAATATCAAGATCTTATTCTTCTTCATCATTATCATTCGCAAAGTCGTTGCACTTCTATTTTCAGGTACGATGCATCAGCGAAGTTAAGTTAGTAGTTTAGAGTTTTCTGTCTCTGTCTCTGTCTTTCTGTCTGTCTGTCTCCGTTTCTCTCTCAACGTGCTTGAGAACTCGAAGGGCGTACTTCCAAAGTTCTTGAATTGCAAATTAGACCTCGTGGAACATTCGTTGAACAATTAGACTACGTTGGGCTAAGAAGTTTGTCTTCGGATTCGACATCAAAGTGTGCACCCTATTCACCGCCGAACGATCAGCTTCTAAAGCCTTTTGATAACAATTTACATTATGTTTAGTGATTGGAACCGCTTTATCGATATACCTACGACAGAAACTGAATAAGGATGAATGTAAGAAGAGAGAGAGAAAGAAAGAGAGAAAATAAAATTTATAAGATGCATCATTTTCAGAATAAATAAATAATTATACTTATTTTTATAGAGAGAGCATTGTATACGAGATTCCGCCTAGTTAATACCTAGCTGGTTCCAAGCCCAGATAAAAGGAGGGTTCGAGGGTGAGGCTAGCAACCTACCCTCGGTAAAAACAATAAAGCGCTCTCGGAAATAGCAATAAAAGCTATAACAGGACGAAGTCCTAGTAAAAAGAAGAAGAAGAAGAAGAAGTATACGATCTGATTATATTTTCATCAAATTTACATAGTACTATCTCTCTCTAATAGTTAGATTTAACAAAACAAAAATCTTAATCTTTTTAATCGCACAGATACGAACTCTAGATAGGTTGGTTGTTGAATGGACGACATTTATGTGGTAGTAACAAAAGGGTTAAAAATCATTTCATATGAATAATATTTTTTTTAAATATATACTCGACATATTTATTTTATTCGGTACATAAATAAAATTATTAAATATTTTAATTAAATTTATATATAGTAGTATCTATAATAATAAAAATTCTCTTTAAAATATTTTTAATATTCGTTCCGCAGGAAATAAAGTTTCTTAAAGGGACAAATTGTTGTCAGATATATGGAAGAAAAGTTTCGTTTCCCAATTAGTCTTCGGGATGATTCGTAAAATTAAAATAGTTGTATTTAAAAATGACTATCACGTAGTCTCTCATCAATGAAGAATTTGAAGTTTCACGGTAGGAGGGGTGAGGTTGTGGAGAGGGTCGAATATAAAAAAAAGAAGACACGTTCGAAATATAAATTGTCCGACTTTTCGTATAGGAACTTCCCAATCAGATTCGATCTTTTCTCTGATTGCACGATCTCTTGGACTTATTTCAGGTTCGACCTCGTGAAAACCATCCGGCGTTGGTTTTATTTGTCGTCCCAAAGCGACGGACGACGCACGAAATCGACGCCGACGCCGACGCAAACGTTTCTTCTATCGTCGTCACGAAATACGTTTCGTCTGTCCGAATTTAACCTTTCCGGTTCGTCGGAAGTCACCAACGTGTGCTCGAAACCTAAACGTATTTGTTTTTTTTTCTAGACGACAATTTCTTTTTTTCTGTATTTTAATATATATTATTTTATTTATTAATATTTTGTGTTAAATTTATCGCTTCCGGTTCGTGGAACGTTCATTCAAATCATAAATACGTTTTTTATTTTGGGTTTTATTTATTAATACATCGAGAGATTGCAAAACGTTCGAAATTTCACAAAGTGTTGGTCGAAGAGATTACTCTTTGTTCGTCACGTTTCAAACGTTAAGTTTTCGGATATCTGCGTCCTTTGTTTCGAGACAATGCTTCTGTTTGATGGAAAATTACAAATGGATTTTCCGGCCAAGCTTCTTGGCATCTCCTGGAACGAACATTTGTCGCTGATCCATCAGTTACCTTTTACTCTGCTACGACCGGACATTTATTAATAGTCTTGTACGAGAGTCGAATAACTACAAGGTCCGTGTTAAATCTTTCAGAACAAAACACGAATTGGGAAATTTTCTCCAAAGTATATATATAAACGATATGATTTTCTTTGAAATTTTATTTTCTAAAATATCTTCGAACAAACCGAATTCAATTAAGATTTACGTGAAACCATTTATTCAAATCGATTGACAATAATTGTAAGCTTAATTATGAAGCTGATAGAAAAATAAAAAAAATAAACAGAGAAAAAAATTCTCTAAAAAAAGGGGAAAAAGAAGTGATAGAAAAATAAGTCGCGTTAAAGTAACGTACAGCTGATAGGATCGAGAAGTCTAGTTGATTTTAACTATCCGATGTAGTTGATATATTTTCTTGTTAGGAACGGTGTGTTCCTGACGGCAAAGGTCGTTTTGACGATTGGAAGGAGCCAAGGGTCAGAATGGTAAAAATAGCCGACAAATTAGGTGCTATTGTTACCGTCAAACGTTCCACTTGTTGATCTCTAAGACAAATGCTTTTTTTTCTTTCTTTCTTTCTTGCTTGCTTGCTTGCTTTCTTTCCTTTCTGAACTCCGATAAAGAAAACGACCACAAACATTGTTCGGGTATGAAATATTGTAATGCCTTTTGCAACAAGCTGTTAACGATGTATATTTCTCAGGTTTCTTAATCGAGAACAAGTTTATAACGCGTTCGAGTTATTTCCGTAACAACGGAAATGTAAATTTACATTGTTCGAGGAAAATTAGCAAGCGATCCACACAGGGTAGCATTGATGCGGAGAAAATTCATTCTCGTTTGGGAGGTAATTGGGGCTGGAAGAGGGGAATTAGAAGGAAGGAAGGAAGGAAGGAAGGAAGGAAGAAAAGCATGAAGATATGAAGGGTGGTAGAGAATTTGAGAGATTATACGAGAAATGAGTAAGTTAAACTTAATTATAAAGTCTAATCGATAAATATTTTATTAGCCTTTCGTATTTCTCTCTTGTAATATTTTCTCATCCCCTTTACATTGATAAATTTTTATTCAGGCCGAAATTAGATACTTTCTTACGTGTTCTTTCGTATTTACAAATTGCTTATGTCGAAATTATTTTCTTCTTCTTTCTTTGAATGTATTTCTTAATTGCGACATGAATTAAATAATGACTGCCTTCCACAAGCACCTAACTATAATACTTAAATATATGCTTTTTAAAATTAGCTACTTAAAAAATTCATTTTCCAGTGGTTAATTATTATATTAAAGAGAGAAAAAAAATAAACATCCGTTTTTATGAAAAATTTTTCCTTGTTTTATTTTTACCATAATACAAAGAATTACCTATGTAATTGTTTAGCAAACGACTTTATGAAAATGTTCAGGACGTGAATTTTGTATTTCTCTCTCTCTCTCCCTCTCTGTTTCATTTATTTTTGTTCTCTTTTTATTTGGACCAACATAAAAGGTCCTTTATTCCTTTATCCTCAAGGGTGAACGCACGTCAGGTGTCGCGTTATGCACTCTCAACAAGGAAGGACCGTTTTTACTTATCCCGTACTCGTTGCTCACGTTGCTCTTTTCTCTCGAGGGAAATACAACCACGAAGAGATTTTTCCTCTGGGCACTGTGTTGTACTTACTACAAAGAATGACCTTGGCTGTTGTGCCTTCTACTGCAACCACGACTATAATACTCATCTCTCTCTCTTTCTTTTTTTTTTTTTCTTTATACACGTTGGATTACAAATTATTTTCTTTGACGCTTTC